TTTTTAAAAATCTTTATTTTATGCTAACTTTTCCTTATTTTTTTTCATTGAAAAAAAAAAACAACTCTGTCTTCTAAAGAAAAGGGCTTGGCACAGCCCTAGAACAAGGTGTGGAGTGGCACATAAAGGGGCAGGGTGATGTTTCTAAAAAAGTGGGGTTTGGTTGTGGAATTAGGGTAAAGCCAAAGGCACATACTGCAACACATGTGAGTACTGAACGTCCTTCTCTCCTCCACCCCCTGTGACTAAACGTTGGCAGGAGAGGTCAGGACCACGGCTCGGGGGAGGGTTTCAGGGATGCCAGTCTGCCAGATCAGCTGCGGATATTTTTCATGGGATGGTTGAGAATAAGGCAGTGCCCCGCTGCTGTGTTCCTCTTCCCCAGCTGTGACAGAGGCCAGCGTGGGACAAGGTGAATTTTCTCTTTCTTCTCCAACTCAATGTGTTGAGCTACAACAGTGTTTTTCCTTTTTGAATTAAAGGTCTTTTGTTTTCTTTTTATGTGGGAGGGGATTATCAGAAGCAGTGTCCTGGCTCTAGAGCTAGGTGCCTGAGCTTTCCTTCCATGCCCAAGGCAGTCATTTACTTCCACTTGTGTGTTGGGGACCAGCCCCCAGAAACCCTCCTCTGTCACCTGCCTTATTGTGGTGGCGTCCCAATTGTGCCCCTCCAGATTAGTCAGCCTGCTGAGGTTCGCTGGCTCAGCTGATAGAGCATGTGACTCTTGATCTTAGGATCGTGAGTTTAAACCCCATGGTGGGTATAGAGCCTACTTTAAAAAAAAAAAAAATCTGGGGCGCCTGGGTGGCGCAGTCGGTTAAGCGTCCGACTTCAGCCAGGTCACGATCTCCCGGTCCGTGAGTTCGAGCCCCGCGTCAGGCTCTGAGCTGATGGCTCGGAGCCTGGAGCCTGTTTCCGATTCTGTGTCTCCCTCTCTCTCTGCCCCTCCCCCGTTCATGCTCTGTCTCTCTCTGTCCCAAAAAATAAATAAAAAACGTTGAAATAAAAAAATTTAAAAAAAAATCATCAGCTTACTGATCTTTTTAAAATCTGGATCAAATCATGTCACTTCTCTGCTCAAAACTCTCTTAAGGCCCTGCATCTCATGAGATGTAGAAGCCAGCATCCTTGTGCCACAGGAATGGCCCTCCTCCTCTCCACACCCACCTCCTCCTTTTATTCTCCTTTGGCCACCCTCTGCCTGACAGCCCCTTCCCTCCGATTTCCCTCTTTAGGGCCTTCCTGAAATACCACCTCCTCAGCCATGCCTTTCCTAACCAGATATACTCTCTGTTTGATGCATTTTAGTAGTTTGTTGTCTGTCTTTCCCCACTAGAAGATCAGTGCCACGAGGGCAGACACTCCTGGGCAGTCTGCTCACTACTATATCCCTGACACTTAGAATGGTGACTGGCATGTAGAAGGTACTCAAGACATATTTTATGAGTGACTGAATGAGAAAGTAAGGTAATTAATCATTAATAAGTTGCCAGAGACGACCTATTACGTCAATGATAAAGTCGATAGTGTGTGTGTGTTTTAAAATTGAGCTACTATTATGTGCCCTGCCTCAGACTGGCTCTTCTCCCACTGGTTCAGCCAAGATTGCTTCTGACTTATCTGTTTCTACTTGTTGTTTTTGTTTTGGTTTTTTTTTTTTTTTTTTTTTTTTTTTTTGGTATTCTTCTCTCCAAACCTTTCTCATAGGAAACTGTCCCGAAGCTACTTCTGTGGGATTTTCTCTGACTAATCCCCCTGTGCTCTGCTCGGCACATATGAAGCTCATGAACTGAGCCCGTACTCTGTCCGCCTGCTATTAGGCTCATCCTTGTACGTGTGCAGTGGTTTTCTCCACCATGATTGTGGATGTAAGACCTGGAGCGTGGGGACCAGACCGTCTCTCCTTCCTGTCTCTCATAGCATTAAATAGGACTCCGGACTCCATAGCCTGGGTTCTGTTGCAGTTTGGCTGTGTCCACAAGTAAAGCTATGGGATCAGAACACCAAAAGCAATGGGGACCATGGTGATGTTCCCATGTTCTGGAGAGCTAGGGTGCTAGAGCCAGGGACCAGCAAATCTTTACCAAGTAGATTCTGCAGTAAGGCACCGCTGTGAAAGGGCGTGAGGCACAGAATGCAGTCCAAGACAAGTCCCCACTTTTGGCCTATTTGGGGGGAGACTGCTCGTAAACATGAAATATCCCCAGCACATATTTCCTGAATTTACTAAGCAACATCAACACTGCAGCCACAGTGGTGAAAACAGTGCTGAATTTAGTACTACTAGAGAACCTGCTTTCTAACATCAGGATAGGATGAGATTGTAGACGTGGGAGCCACAGAGCAGGGTTCACATCCTGGACAGTCAGTAAATGGCATCCACAAAAGGCATGTTTTACATGATTGTTATAAGGATAAGTGCTCAGGAAGATGTGTACTGAATAACGCAGTCGAGAGGGCACCGCCATTAGCATCCCAGCTTTGCCAGGAGCTGTCCAGACCCTGGACCGATCACATTGCTGCTTCTTGGGCCTCAGTTTCCTTATATATGAAATTAGAGGCTGGATGTGGATGACCCCTGAATGCTAATATCCTTTAACTCCCATCAGGATCCCAGAGGCTAGGGTTGTAGGCCACGCCTTGTGACCTTGAGCAAATCACTTCACTTTTCATGCCTGTTTCCTCATCTGCAAACTGGTCACAGGACTGGGCTGGTGTCCTCCAGGCTTATCTAGCTTGAGGAGTCCTGAGGAGCCTGCAGGGACACTGAAGGACAGCTTCAGACCTGGTTGCTGTAGTGGAAGGGAAAATCAGGAGCTGAGAATCTAGGATTGCACAGAACAGCACCAGAGGGCTGGGGAGGGGTGTGTTGGAGGTAGGGCCCGGGAGGACAGGAGGCTGGGACAAGTGAGTAGAGCAGTGCCTCTAGAACTTGGATAGGAGTCTTGTTCAAGTGCAGATCCTGAGCCACTGGATCTGGAGCTGTCCTGGAGATGCTGCATGTTGACCAAGCTCCTGGCCCATGCAGCAGGTCCATGGGTCACACTCTGGGTAGCAATAAAGAATTTTCTTCCTTCCCCAGTTTAGCAGCTGGGCCTCTTGGAGAAGAATAGAAGCCAATCTCCTTCCCCCTCATTCCTCCATGCCCCACCCCCAGGACCCAAAGCAAAGGATGTTTTTGCCATTGTTTTCCCCCCAGTCATTCCCCTAGAATCCTCCAGAACACTCACACACACTCACTCTTTGATGCCCTGGCCTCCCCCGCCTCATCGATACTTCCATCACTGGACTTTTGCTGCAAAAGTGATTTCGGGGGAAAAGAATCTCACACCACGTTTTCTAGGCCCTTACTGTCTGGCAGTGACAGTCCCGGAGGAACGGGAAGTGAAAATGTCTACATTGTTGGAGAGCGGTGATGTCATGTCCAGCCTTTCCTACTTACACGGTGCCCATTCCTCCGTCGTCCTGGAGGCTGGGGCTTCTGCCGCTCCCACTCCCTCTAATGAGGGTCTCCCACACGGTGTCATTCCCATGTAACCTCTTTTCCACCCTGACATACACACATGTGCGTGCGCACATGCACGCACACATGCCCTCTACCCAGAGAACGTTGCCATCCTGCCTGCCTTAGGGAGGCCTCCTTTTTCACACTGTGGCCCACAGGGCAAATGCTGATATTTGTACAACGTGCGGGGATAAACAGCTGAGGCTGCCACCAGCACACCCCCAGCTCCGGCACCCCCAGGCGCCCCCCAGAGGCCTGAAGTCGTTCATACCTTGACACATCTGGAACCCATTCCCCATTCGCCCACCGGTGTCATACACAGCTTGCAAAGCATTGCTTGAACCAGAGCGCCCCCCCCCCCCCGCCCCCCCTGCTACCCCCTCTCTCCTCCCCTCCTTTCTAGGGAGGGAACGTGTAGTCCAGGATACTTTGTATTTTCAGAGGGAATCTTTGCTGTCCCCAGCCAGCACCAACCACCCCCCTCCTGCCCCCACCATCCCCTAATCCCAGAGGAAATACTACCTGAACAGCCTTCTGTGCAGAAAGAATTCTCAGAAGACTTCACTTGACTGACGCAAATTAGTTTTGCTCTGAGCAGGTTACACACCTAGACGTTCAATCTCCTTCCTCTGCCCTGAGAGCTTATGCAGGGCACTTTCTTCCCCTGACATCCTTCTGCTTCATGGAAATGGTCCTCCCTGGCTCTGATGGAAGAGGAGAGGGCCTGGTCTGGGAGAGTGAGTTATTATTCTTAGGTTCTAGAAAGAGGAAATGGGGGGCCCTTGGAGGTCAAGCGACTGGTAAGCTTTCCTTTCAGCCTAACAGCCGGAGATTTCTGCACCAAAGGAGAAATCCGAGTCCTCTATTACAGTTGCCTGGCAGAGAAATCTTACAGTGATATTTTGTTCACCCTGAGGACCAAGAGTCTACAAATCTCATGCCTGGTTTATCTCTCTTTATTCTTCTTTGGGCAGCTTTCCCACACACACCGCATGAAGCTGACTCACCGCTTCTCAGCTCAGACACCTTCCACGGCTCCCTGTTTCCTTTCACCGAGAGCCCAGTTTACATCCCATTATTCCCCTGATCTGCTTGTTCCTCTGTACTCTCAGCCCCTTCACAGAGCATGCAGTACCTCTCAGGTATCATTCACTCTAAGAGTTCAGCTCTCCTCTGTGGTCAACTGGAAACCCCCTAATGAAAGAAATAACATCACGTGTGTTGTACGCACCTCAGCGTCCAGTGTTTTCATCCTTAGGGGTTTGTATGTGTTAGAGACCATTTGGCATTTTGTAAATGGAAGACAGTCTCCATGGACAGTGCACCCCTCCATAGAATTTGCACGAGAGTTTAGAGGGTGTGCCGCCCCCTTGTTGCCTACTGGTGGACTCCAGATTAATAGTACCTGATGTAGCGAAGAGGACTGTTGGCCGACCAAATAATAGCTGCCCAGTACTTGTCTGCTGAGCCATAACTCTCCCTGTCTCTCAAACAGATTGCCCTGACATTCTCCATCGTCTTTGGGGTCATCGTGTATCGCATAACAACTGCAGCAGCCCTGTCTCTCAACAAGGCTACACGCTCCAATGTCCGGGTGACAGTGACAGCCACAGCAGTCATCATCAACCTCGTGGTCATCCTCATCCTGGACGAGATCTATGGTGCTGTGGCCACATGGCTCACCAAAATCGGTACTGTGTCACCAAATCCCATGTCTGCCCTAGGCCCCCTTGAACGAAGTCGGCTCAACACATGCGAGGTTTTTGGTGGTGGTGACTGAAAACGAAAAAAGGAACAGGAACAAAATGCTTTGTAGAGTGCATTTTGGTTGGAGAAATGAGGAAGTACTGAAGTTATGTACTTGCAGGGCCTGCCAGGGGCCTCCCCTCAGCGAGAAATCCTCCTTAGGGCATTCTCTATCAGTAGTCTTCCAGCCCAAGTTGATTGCCTCATTGTCCCCAAAGAATCATTCATGGGACCTATTCTTTTTAGCCTAACCTAGAAGCAAGATGGGTTCAACACTTCCTGTTACAAATTACAGAGTTTTAACCTTTCCTCATTTTCCCAGGAGTGTTTACAGAGTAGAGAAAGCTCTTGATACTTGAGCCCTGGAGGGTCTCATCTATCCCCATATTGCTGAGGCCCCAGAAAATCCACACATTCCCCACACACTGAGCAGACTTCAAAGAGGCATATCAGACTTCCCAAGCTTCAAGCCAGTGAGAAAAATGCGGTGGCCTCAGTATTCAGACGTGTCATTTGAGCCACAACCTGCTGTTGCCTGAGCACCATTTTTTGGCATTTGCGCTTATTAGACTGGGGAGAGCTGAGAACTGAGACCCTTTCCTCATGGTACTTATCCTGGGTGGCCTTGGGGCATGCACCTCTTTCCCTGGTGGAATCTGGGGACTAGGGCTGTCAGCTTCTGACTATCCTTAGAAAAATTGAACTAATGATTAGATGTCTTTAATTCACTGACTAGTTAAAAGCTAAACACTTGATAGGATAACCCCCTTGTCAAGAGAGCCTTCCCTGGAGGATCAGAACATTCCAGAAAGGTTTCACTAATTCCAGTTAAAGGGATTCTTTCAGTGCCTTTCCCTGGCTTGGCCTCTACTCACGGTGGACATTGACTTTTGGTCTCCATGTGGATGTAGCCAAGGTACCATCTGGAATGGAGGTTCTGCTCTCTTTAGGCATGTGCACATTAATAAGTGTTACCCGTCCGTGTTCTTTCATAGGTTTCTGGAGAAAAGTCAGCAGAGAATGTTGCTTCAGGGTGTTTAGTGGTATGTGAGATTCTATAGAAGCACTTAGGGGGAGCATCCTGGGGGGCTTCTGAGGTATAAGGGCATCAAGTTGGATTGCTCAGGTGCAGAGGGAGGGGGAAGTGGGCAGGAGGAGAAGAGGTTCCTGGCAGAGGAAACAGAATAAGAAATCTGGCAGTGAAGGGAGAAATCAGACCCTTCAGGGTCAGAAAAGGCCCCGGGGTGGGGGGGGGGGGGCGTGCACAGGGGCTAGGCTTGTACAATGGGCACAACTTTGGTGCCAGGGGAGCTGAGGGGGCAGAGAGCTCAGCGTACGGAAGAAGGAAACACGAAGCATGTCCAGGATGCTAGGGGAGTCCAGTATGGTGGTTCTTCTAGGGTCTGCAGCATGTTCAGGGCATAGCGGAGTGAGAAACTGGGCCCAGAGCATTGACCCAGACCTGATTTTTCTGTAGAAGACCTTGAATGCCAGGCCAAGGATGCTGCTAATTTTCATAGACATGGGAAAGTGTTTGCTGGAGTTTGAAGAGTCATCTAATAAAAAGTACCTGTCTTTCAGCCCTAATCATTGAGTATGCTAAAAAGTAAGATGTAGGCAAAAGCCAAGACTTCACTTTTAAAGCTAAAATAGGCTACATGGGAGGAAACAGCTTAGCAGGAGAGCCAGATAGACTTCCTAATACAGGATTACAGACAGACATCCCTTCCAGTGGCCAGCAACGGAGGGCAGGGAAGCCAGGCAAGTCTTAGGATGTGGAGGGGCAGGGCATAGACCCTTTTCTCCCCAGAGGAAGGGCAGAGGGGGTGGACAGATGAGACATGCTGGTGTCACCCTCCAGGCTGACTAATGAGATAAGCTTCTGTCCCTCAAGAGGGTAAAGGATGAGGTGGGGGAGACAAGTTAGGGCATTACAAATAAGCACACTCCTTCCACATCGGGGAAGCATCAGGAGTGGAAAGAAACGTCCCCCATCCCCCTCAGTGGCTCTGGCCCCACACCACTGGGGGACTTTCTGAAGAATGCGACATGATTGGAGCTGTATGTTTGCGGAACTATCCTGGCAGGGACATAGGATGCCACAGAGAAGAGAGAGGCAGGAAGGCCTAATGTAAAGGAGATTAATGAGTGTGTGGGCAGGAAGTAGGGAAGAGAGGAACAGGAAATCGGCGATGGTGCAGAAATGTCTTCCTGCTGTCCATTTGCATTACTTTGTTTCACTTGTGTTCCATGGCTCTAGAGAGTGGTAGGCTAGAAGATAGAGCGTGGTCCACAGTCAGAACCTCACTGACAAGGGTTTAGTGAGCACCTCCTGTCTACAACGCAGGGCAAATTCTCTTTGCATTGGGCCATAAAACACCATCCACACTGTGAAGCTACATCCACTGTTCCTAACAGCGCTTTCTCCCTCACCCATAAAGTTCAGGCTCCCCCATGCTGTGCAACCAGTGGCTGGTAAGGAAGTCTGTGCTCTGGAAAGGAGATGAAATCCTGGCAAGTACCTTTTGTTCTTTGTGATAGCGATACTCATAAAGCGACTTTCAACTTAAAAGAGTTCTGTTATCCCATTTCATCCTCACAGAAACTGTGTGTGGTCAGCAAGGAGAGTATTATATCCTCATTTTACTAAGGCTCAAACTCAGATTGTCCCTCTGAACTGCAAATACCTTTTGCGCTCTGTCGGTGTGAGTTTCTTACTGTCTGGACCAAAGTGGTATATTGGGTCTCCATGCAGGAACCCATGTGGGCCTCGTCCTAGGTTGCTGCTCTTGTCTGCCTTGGACTGGATGTTCTCAGAAGGTCAGACAGGTGTTTTTGTATAGTGGAAGGGCCACTGAATTCGGGAGCCCAGTGGAAGGAACCTTTGAGTTCTGGGCCTGACTCCTTCTCCCTCCCATCCCCAGATACGTGGCATTGGGCAAACAGGGAGCTTTTCTGGAACCAGTTTTATTGATCTTTCCTTCATTATTTCCCTCCTTCCTGTCCACTGATCATCACCTCTGTGGGGACTGTTTTCACAGCCTAAGGACTATGCCCTTGTCTTTAGCCTCTGTCTGTGGGCCTCCTGCTTGGAAATCCCCACCCAGTCAGTCTTTTCAAACTTTCTCCTTGGGCTGGGGGAGGGGAGCACTACTCCATCCCCCCACAGACAACTTCCGTTTGCCCTTGGGTCAGATATAAACTAGCATTCAAGGCCCTTGTGTGTGGATTTCCCAGTCTTAGGGTAGACGAGATTCTGCCAGGGTGATAAATCTATCTTAAAATCTCAGGTGCATAATTCGGACTTGTTTACTTGTTCTTGCTCACGCTCCATGTCCAGTGCAGCAGGGCAGGGGCTCTGGACCCAGACTGATGGAGGCCACATGGACACCAGGGAGGCTATGAAACACACCATCTCTCACTTCTGCTCACAGCACACTGGCTGGAAGCAGCCTAATTGTGAAGCAGTGGGAAGATACTCCATGGACAGCAAGGGTCTCTGCTGCTGGCTCCAGCCAGGCTACAAAGCCTTGGAGAACAGCTCCTCGGTCTTACGTTTCCTTTTATGTCCCCCATAGTGCCTGCCTCACAGGAGATCTGTGAGTTTGCTGATGCAGTTATCTCTGTCTTCGTTTATGCATTCAAAAAATTTTTTTCCAGGGAATGCCCATAGGCTAGGCATCCTGTAAGCCACAGTGGAAGCTACCACGAGCATGTATGCATTTTTTATTTCCTACCTTCAAAAGGATTTGCAGAAACATTGAGATGAATAAGGTAAATGTGAAGTTGGCTTGATGGGACAGTCACTGAAAGATGCAACAAACCTATCAGAAGACTTAAAGTGCCCTTAATGGCAAAGAGTGTGCACACTAACCCACTCACCGAGGTGGTCGTGCACAGCAGGGGTGACCTGTGCACCTTCAGGCAGAGGTATGACTGCAGAGTCCCCCAGGCCTGCATGGAGACAAAAAGTTGTGAATAAGGCCACCTAATGGAATGAGGGTTCTGCCAGGCTTAGGGGTTTCCTGTGCCATTCTCACGCTGGCTTTAATACCCGTCTGGCTTCTTGCCTCAGATCTCCTGATTGCTGAGGAGCCTATGACTACCGCCTTGCTCACCAGGTGCAAACAGCTGGTGTAAACAACCCCAGCGAGTTCCCAAGTGTTTCCTGCAAAGGCTGGGTGGTGAAGACCGATTTCTTGGGAGCATCTCCCAACAGGCCCAGACATCAGGCCCATCTGAGGTCCCTTCTGTCCACAAATATTTGTGACAGACTCCAGAATGTGTTAAGAGTTGGCTCAGCAGTGGTAGATAAAGACACAGTAATCGCCTCCCTGGCTGCCATGGTAACAGTGGTCACAGGCTTGGGTGCAAGACACACCGTGAGCTGGTGGCTGTATGGCAATGGTGGGGCAGAGACTGAGCTGGGACCTAGGTGGTGGGATGGGGTTGCTAGGGGAAAATGAGTGAAGCTTGGGGCCTTGGTGGCCAGAGTCTGCTCTGCAAGGTGGGTAGCCTCCTTCAGCAAGCGTCAGTAATTAGTTTGTGAGGATCCCAATGAATAGGTGGGACAGTACAGTCCCCAGTGATCTGTTCATTCCTGAAGGGGTCCCAGATGATGGTTTATAGGAAAGGGTCTGGTTCCTGAGATGGGAAACAAGCAATAGCTGGGCAGGACATCAGGACCCCAGATGTCCAGGAAAATCAGACCGGGCTCAGATGTCATGGGAGGCCAGGGTATGAGGCAAGGTGACAAGGGTCACCAAGTAGACGAGCTCAAGGCATGCTTTGGTCCTAGCCTGTCCAGCTGCTATCACAGAATACCACATAGTGGGTGTCAACAGCAGAAATGTGTTTCTCATACTCTGGAGGCTGGAAGTCTGAGCTCAGGATGTCAACAGGGCTGGGGAAGGGTCCTCTCCCAGGTCCTATGGCTGTGCTTTCA